ATTGAAGTACTTTCTAGGTATTGAGGTTGCCCAGTCTAGCTCAGGTATTGTTATTTCTCAAAGAAAATATGCTTTAGACATTCTTGAGGAGACGGGGATGATAGGTTGCAGACCTGTTGACACTCCGATGGATCCGAATTCTAAACTTATGCCAGGACAGGGGGAGCCGCTTAGCGATCCTGCAAGGTATAGGCGGCTGGTTGGAAAATTAAATTATCTCACAGTGACTAGACCCGACATTTCTTATCCTGTGAGTGTTGTAAGTCAGTTTATGAATTCTCCCTGTGATAGTCATTGGGATGCAGTTGTCCGCATTATTCGATATATAAAATTGGCTCCAGGCAAAAGGTTACTCTTTGAGGATCGAGGTCATGAGCAGATCATTGGATACTCAGATGCTGATTGGGCAGGATCACCTTCTGATAGACGTTCTACGTCTAGATATTGTGTTTTAGTAGGAGGAAATTTGGTGTCCTGGAAGAGCAAGAAACAGAATGTAGTTGCTCGGTCTAGTGCAGAAGCAGAATATCGAGCAATGACTATGGCAACATGTGAGCTAGTCTGGACCAAACAATTGCTCAAGGAGTTAAAATTTGGTGAAATCAGTCGGATGGAACTTGTGTGCGATAATCAAGCTGCCCTTCATATTGCATCAAATCCGGTGTTCCATGAGAGAACTAAACACATTGAGATTGATTGTCACTTCGTCAGAGAAAAGATACTTCCAGGAGAGATTGCTACAAAGTTTGTGAGGTCGAATGATCAACTTGCAGATATTTTCACCAAGTGTCTCACTGGTCCTCGTATTGGTTATATATGTAACAAGCTCGGTACATATGATTTGTATGCACCGGCTTGAGGGAGAGTGTTAGTTTACAGCATGTATATAGTGTAGTATTGTCCCATATTGGTAGAGGTGTAGTATGTTCTTGTATAGTATAGCTATAAATAAGGACCTCTTGTATTGTATTGTTCATTCAACATCAATAACATATTTTCTCCCGTGCCTTCTCACAGATTTAATGTCCCAAAAATGGAAAATCTTACTCATTTTACCTTTTATTACCATTTATGCAAAAGTTCAATTGGACTTACCACAATACTTCTGAATTAACATAAAACTATTTCAAAATCAAACATCTGGGCAATGGTGATCGTAAATTATAAATACCACTATTCTAATTCTACTTTGCATTTAGTCCTTCAAAATTTATCCACTTTTCTCAAATAGAATTTTTTTCTCAAGCTACCGAACTCTTTTGAATTCATAACAGCAGAATAATTGAACCGACTATTATATGATTAGAAAGTAGAAACTTCACTTTAGATAGGTTTAAATAAATCAGGCGTTTGCCTTTAGCTTTATACACATGTCTAATAGAAAATTGATGCAATCCACAAAACCCTCTAATGGAATACAAATTTAAGAATGTTAAAAGTTTGTAAAATGCTTAAGTTGTGTCTGGGCTACAAATTAATTGGAGGAAGAATCTATTATTCCCGGCAAATGAAGTGTCAGAGATTCAAGTATTAGCAGCAACTCGAGGATGTGAAGTTGATCTCTTCTTACAAGTTACTTAGGGATGGATCTGGGGTCAAGAAATAAGCCACAAGATATCGGGGATGGAGTTCTTGAAAGGTGTGAAAAAAGATACGCTAGATAGAAGAGCCAACACTTATCCTTGGGAGCAGGGTGATTTTGGTAAACACTGTTCTTTACTCACTACCTACCTATATATGATGTCTTTATTTCCTTTGCCTGCAAAAATTGAAAAGAGATTGATTCTTTGAGGAGAAACTTCATTTGGGAAGGTAACAAGGCAAGAAATGTTTCCACTTAGTAAAATGGAGAACTCTCATTGTTTTTGTTAAAGAGGGAAACCCGCAGCCGCTACACTTGGTGCGCACTGGGTAAACCTCCCCCCTGTGTAATAGCCTGCAAACCACACAGGGGAGGTAAGCCGCACTAGGCAAGCCATGTGCGACAGGCTCAACCCAGAAGGCATTGAGGGGGATTCGATCCCAGGTCATCCGTATGGATGACCGCCCCCGTATGGATGACCGCCCTCCAAACCAACTGGGCAACCCCGAAGGGGGGTTAGGTATAAGAAATTTGAGAATGCACAATAAAAGTTTACTTATGAATGATACGCAGATTTAGTTTGGAAGAGCAAGCTTTGTGGAGAAAGGTTGAAAAACACGGACAAGAAGGTAAGTGGGTCTTAAAATGGCTTCCCCTTATGATGTTAGTGTATGGAAGTCCATCAGAAACTTTTGGCCTGCTTTTGCCAATTATGTCAATATAAAACTTGGTAATGGGATGAAAACTTCTTTTTGGAATGACAATTGAGCCCAACATGAACCATTAAAAGATTGATCTTTCTGTTTGAGCCAACAACCTGATGCATCTGTTGCTGAAGTTAGGGATAAATAGGGGTGGAATCTAAACTTTAGAAGGCTTTTGAATGCCTGGGAAGTGGATAGAGTAGCTGAACTTCTCAGAAGTTTGGGACAGTTTCCAGGATCTACAGCAGCTGAAGACAGTTGAATATGGCGGAGGCATTGCAAAGGTGTGTATAAAATAGCATATATAACACTCGATCACAGTGGGCAACAGAGATTCAAATGGCCTTGAAAGGAAATATGGAAAGTGAAGATACCTTATAAGGCGGCATGTTTTTCATGGAGTCTAGCCAAGGAAGCATGCTTGACCCAAGAAAAACTTATGTGAAAAGGGTTGCAGCTGTATTCTAAATGTTTTTTGAGTGAAAAAGATTCTAAGAGCATAAATCATCTCTTCCTAGCCTGTGAAGTTACTGACGAGATTTGGCAGCTTTTTTCAACATGAAAGGAATAAAGTGGGCTATGCCAAAGAATACATCAGAGCTGTTGGCATGCTGGATTAATACTGGAGGTACTGCTGGACATAAACAAAATGGTGGCAAATGATACCTGCTTGTGTATGGTGGACTGTGTGGAAGGAGAGAAATACAGATGCTTTGAAGGAACCCGCAACTCTGTACAGGAAGTCAAGATGAACTGCCTGTCTTTATTTTATTTTTGGTGTAAAAAAGATCTCCTAGATGATGCTGAATCTCTCAAAAAAAAGGGAGAATGCTTCTCTCTAGTTACTTCCACCTGTATGACTTTGACCCAGTGTTGTCAAAGGCGCGCTTAAGCCCTGAAGCAAGGCTCAAAACATGTTGAGCGCTTTGGGGAAGTTTCAGTGTCGCATCAAGGCTCTAAGGCGTACTACTCCTTGCCAATGTGTGTGATCCTGACAAGGCGACACTAAACAATTGATATTTCATTTTATCGTAATTTTTTTCAATTTATTCATGCTTATAATTATTGGTCTTGGAATGTATATACATATTTTTGCTTTTTCTCCAGTTGCGCCTTTTTTCATTAATGCCCACGCTTTATTTGCGCTTTGCGCTTAAAGCCCCAACAGAACTTAGAGTTTTTTTGCATTTTTCGCCTTTGATAACACTGTTTTGACCTAATTTACTATTTCCATGCTTACTTTTTCATCTTTCAGATTTGCAGTTTTATATCTGGATTCTGCTAGAGCAGATTTTGCTGATGCTGGCAGTATAGTACGCAGCACCTTAAAATTTTCTGGAAGAAGACATTTTATAGTTTGTCTGAGTAAGTCAGAATAGCTAGTAGAATTAAATTTTTGATTGCATTATAGGATCCTTCTTGATAAGACCGGGTTTTTGGAGTTTACAAGTATCATATATGCTTCAATTCATCCGATTGTGCTTCGATTGAATTCTATGTGAAGTTCCTAATAATGCGCGGACGCATATAAATCTAGGAGTGCTCCCAGCGGTTACCTATTTCTCCTTCTTTTTCCCCTTCCTTCCTAAACTCACCATTGTAAATTCTGGCTATTTCTTCCTGTAGCTTTGTGTCATAAAGACAACCACACATCCTTATCCTTTCCCAAAAAAAACTTTTTGAACCAATTATATTTCCAAATTCTCATTTAAAAAAACAGCACAAAATCAAGGCCCAAAAGACGCCTTTCAAATCTGTCAAAACTTGATATTTTCAATGATTTAATGAGAGTCTCACTTGATTTGAAATTCTCGTTAATTATATTCCAAGCCTGAAAATAGCCTCCGTTTCATCTTTCTAATCCTCCAATGCCTAGGCCATCACCCATCCTAATACCCATTTAACCTAACAATTTTCTACCCCTTTAACCCCAATTGATCTTTGACTCCTATTCTTACCTCAGCGTGGTATTTTTTTAATTTAAGTCAAGTTTCAAGCTGTCGCAGCAAGGACAGAGATGTAAAAATTTACAACTCAACATGTCATTGGCAAAGCTTCAACTTTTACCTCAGCATGGCATTGCAAATGAGATAAAGACAATATATATTTCACCCTCTGATATTATAAGCAATGACCAGTCCGAGTTCTATGCTACAACAGTAAAATGTCAAACTAAACCATTAAATTCAAAATAGAGTAATTACCTACTAATCGTTAATTATGAAAAAGACACTCATAAATTTTAATGATTTTCATTCACTTCTTTCAATACTTCTGAAGCAAGCCAGTCAACCATCCACGGGAATTAACTGAAAGAAGACTTAAGAGGAAGAAATGCCTTTAAATTTATACTCCCTCCGTTCCAGTTTATGTGAACCTATTTCCTTTTTGATCCGTTCCAAAAAGAATGATCTCTTTCTATATTTGGAAACAATTTAGCTTAAACTTACAATTCTAACCTTAATGAGAAGCTTTTATAACCACACAAATACTCTGGGCCCCTTTTTGACTGGTTTAGGACCACAAATTCCAAAAGTCTTCAGTTTTTCTTAAACTTTGTGCCCAGTCAAACAGGTTCACATAAATTGGAACGGAGGGAGTATATATTAGCTGCTAAGCATAACGGTGTGGTGGGGAAAAGTTGTGGCAGGAAGGCAAGACCATAGGCAGATTTTCTTTCATCTGAAATAAAATATCTAAGATCTAGATCAATAAAATACGCTTATATCCCCTAATCATACCTTGAATATACAAGCTTGGGGTTTTATGTCATTTTGATCGCCATCTCGATCTGCAACGTTAAATGTGATCATAATAGGAACCTTGGCAGCTGATTGCAAGGGAATTCCACTATCAACCTGAATCCCTTTCACGATTTTATTAGGAGCTGTAGGTAGATAGAGATCATCTCCTTGCATCTCAATTTTCTCCAGCTCCCTAGTAAATGAAAATATGAGGTTTGTTCAAGATAGACAAATATCAGAAGGCACACAGCACCTATATATACAACATATTGTAGACAAATTGACAATATTAAATCTTGTTGCACATTTTACTTTACCTCCGAATGCCAGCTCGTCTCTCCTCCTTGGGGAGTGGATAGAGTGCGCCAGATATAGATGTAACCTTGTCAAAGAAATCAAACTCCCTTTGAAACACATCACGAGCCTTTTCATTGAACCCATCAATTATTCGTTGCCTCACAAGAGGAAGCAGGGCCAGAAATGCAGCATGCTGAAGATAAAATACAACGATATTGACAGTTATGAAATAGTGCAAATTAAAAATAAATCTATTAACCACTGAGTGAGAATGTGCAAGAACTTATGAGGTGGAACTACAAGAAAGACAAAATTCGTTGCCTTAAAAATTTTGGTCACCAGTCAACACAAAAGGTGAGAGAGATAGAGAGTGTGCAAAGTAAAAGGAAATGCATATGACATGCCTCTATGTGAGAGTTTCAGAGAGAAGTTGAATCATACAGAAAACAGATAAATGAATCTCCTTATCAGAAAAAGGATGGTTATAATATTGTCGCAAGGAGAAGTGCACCCCCCCCCCCCCCCAACCCCCCAAAAAAAGTCAATTTGGAGGTATTACAAAGTCAATAGCTATACTCAAGGGAAATTACGTTTATTATCTGAAAATTAAAGTTTGCAGTTTCCAGAATCTTCCATAACATGGAGTTTATGCTGCATGCTCACAGAAAGAGGACCAGATAAGAGTGATTAGAAAAAGGTGCATTAGATGCTTTAAATGGAAGAGGTATCAGTTGAAAATTTTAATCTACCTTTGAAGAAGAATCTTTCCCTGACTCCGGCTCACAAGTCTCACCCTGCAAGCGTTATTCAGGTTAGTGGTTATCATAGAGAACAAGACCTATGTTCACCATAAAACAAGAGGGAACAGATTTAATTTTATCATACAAGGATAGCCATCTTAAAACAGAAACAAAGCAAAAGCTTCCCACCTGCAGATTCCATATTAGAATATGAGCGAATATGTCACTCCTTTGAGTAGCTCTCAGCAAGTATCCTTCTACTAATTTCTGCATGGGTAAACATCACATGATTAGGGTCAATCATGTCTATAATATGAAAGATGATTAAGCGTCTGTTTTCATTGATGAACACTACAGATGGGAAGTTGAGACACAAGGAAGGTATTATTGAGACTACTTCAAGATGAAAAGCCATTGTGATAGCTACTGTTTAATTCTAGTCATTTTTTCATACTACGAACAGAATCATTCATTTAATCGTTTATTATAACCATAAAATTGTTGTTCATTTAAGAATAATAATATCTGAAAACTGACAGGAATACTAAATCCAAGGTGTGAACTATGTAAAAACGTTGAACTAATGAATTAACTTCCAAGAATATATCGCTCTGACTTGCCGTCATGATTAAAAGAAAAGAACGAATTCACATCACAAAGTTAAGTAAAATGCACCTCGTCGTCATATCTCAGGGCCTGCACCAGCTGGGGCATGAAGAAGGTTACTCTTTGAGGAGGATAAGACTCCAACACCCTTAGAACATAAGCCATGACACGTGGATGACCCTTGTATGCTGGTGTGAGGAACTCCAGCGCCTGTGTAATTGAACAAGCAGCCCAGTGTGGCAATTGTTGTAGAAGTGTTGAATTTTCATCAATGGCTTTAGGTGTAACAAAGTATGGCAATGCTTCAGGTATGTGACGTATCTCCAATATATGCGACTGTAATAGAAACAAGATATTTATTTTCATCAGTCACAAAAAATAAAGAAAGGAAAAAATGGAAACAAAAATATAGGTCACCAAAATGAGTAGCAGTAACGGAATTTCAGTAACAGGATCAAGTGTTTGGTTAAAAGGACGACTAATAAGATTGTAAAACAGGCCAACTCAGAGAAATAGTGACAAGCCAGGAGCTGTAAACCAAGTTCTATTTCCTCTCATATAAGAAAATTCATAAAAAGAAAAAACAGATTCAACCTTAAGATGCTTTGGAAGACCATCAGCATCTCAAAAGAAACAGAATGATTTCTTCAGCTGATAAAATCATTATTTCTTACTTTATGCCTTCTCTTGGACTAGATTTATTCATACCAGAAAAGCTACATGGCCTAACACGATTGTCGTAGTGAGGAGAACAACTGCTCCGCAGCTCCAAACAATTCAAAATTTCAGGTTACAGTTGAGCAAAATGAGCATGCAATACAGAGAAATTAAGATAGCTAACAAGCAGCACATAAAACATAGCAGCTATGAAAAGAAACATATTTATTTAGGAGAAACATTCATCTGAGGTTTTTAGCTTATCAGACATGTAAAGCAGCCCTAGAAATTGTATGTCGCATTTTGATTTGTATCTGTCAAGAGATTTGACTTTGACAACTTAAAGTAATTAGACCGCTACAGTAAAAGAAAAAATCATGGCAATGAGCAAAAATTTAGTGAAAAGACCAAAAGGAAATATGCTGCCATAAAATTTCATGCTTGAATCAGCAAGGCAAATGGAGGCTAAGGCAAAGATGACCACAAGAACCATTCGACCAAATCTGAGGAAATGTTTGGTCAAGTCAACTACATTTCAAAACCATTCCAAAGCATTAAGAATGTATTTGGACTAGGCCATTGGAAGCTTTAGAAGCAAACACCTAAACTGGAATACTGGATCAATACTAAAATGACAAATGAGATCTGAAAAGATTGATGCAGAAAGCACAACAGGACATGGTTTTCAAGCATGTCCAAAATTATTGGATAGATTAAGTAAATTGAATGATAATCGGTTGGCTCTATACTATACAAGAAAAGAGATTTAGAATTACAGTAGTCTAGACTGTCAAAGTCATCATTTCTTTCATTCAGGAAATTAGTGTTGTTAAAATCATGGAGACTGTCTATTACTAGCTGGGTTGTTCCCAGTTTTTTGTAATAAGCAAATATATTTTATTAGAAGAAACAATCCCAAAAAAGGTGTCACCCTAAATAACACGTTTACACAAACCCAAAACATACGCAAAAGGAACTAGCTCTTAGTCCAATTTCTTTCCCAATCTTTATTTTGCATTAAACTCATTTCCCATCATAGTTGACACTGCCTTCCAACCATCATAAGTCACTCTTGTTTACTGCTTCCCCTCTTTCCTATCTGGTGGTTTTTCTTATCTTGGTTCACATCTTTGCTAACTCCTCCATTACATCATGAACAACATTACCTTTTTTAATAACATTTTAAGGAGAAAACAACCTTATGTTTTCATCTCAGATGCCATGATTTGCTTAAAGACTTAATATATCCTGCAACTCTGCCATCATGTTCAGATATTACCTAGTGGACCCTTATTAAAATTCCGTTAACTGATGGGTTGAACAGTTTCGTCAAGAGCCTTTAATGCATTCTTGGTTACCATTCTCCGATATCCAATTTTGACCCACTATCCCCTGTTGTCTTGTTTCAACTGCATCATCATATTCATTTCCCCACTCTTTTTCTAGATTAGAGTCCCCATCTGAGAGTATAATCCCCTTCTCCTACAGAATCCTCTCCAAAATCAAGAACCAGTAAAGCATTATGGGTTATCCTTTCTCTGAGATCCAATTACTCTCTATTCTCTGTTCTCTTGTTTCAACTCCATCACAATATTCATTTCCCCACTCTTTTTCTAGATTACAGTCCTCATCTTAGAGTATAATCCCATTATCCTACAGAATCCCTCTCCAAAATGATTGAGCTTAGTGTCAGCCAGATCACAGATCCCCAATAATGCATCATTTTCAGATGTTTCATATGAAGTGTTCCTTCCTAATTTTTTCCTCGTGATCCGAATAATTTTACTGAGGAAAGGTCTTTCCAAGCAAGGAAGACCAGAGGAAATAGAACTTGGAGCAGAGGAATTTTAAAGTCAAACATGTTTGTCGGAAATGCAAGGAAGCAGAACTTTATCCGATATTTCGGATCAACTTCAACTCTAGTCTTATCAAAGTGGACTTCATCAACTCCTTGTCTGTTAAATAGGAGCAACATCCCACATAATTTTTTTGTAATGTGGCACCTTCTCCGTGCTTATACGAATAAAACTTTACTTATCAGAAAAAGATGATACCAAGCCATATCTTACAAGCATATTGTACAGGAAGCATTCCTCCATCTTTTTGGCAAGAAAAATGTATTGAACATCTGATTGAGGTGGTGTTCCCATAGTAAAAGGCAACTTTTGTCCAATTAAAGCATCCTAACCTTTCTTTAAGGTGTAGAAAATTTCAGTCTACACTCAAAAGGAAAAGATGAAAATTAAAAAATCATAAGGGACATCTTTCTATTTCCTGGTCAGAAAATTTGTTACAGAGAACAGCCACCATATTATTGAAACTAGTTATGAAGCAAAAGTTACTCGAGAATGTTTGTCGTATGATTCACCAAGGCCCTTATTTTACGCGCTTTTGCATAAAAATTTCAACAAAATAGACAAATAATGCAATCTTCATCATCCTAAAGTCAACTTCATACGCAATTTCTGTTTCAAGTCATCTGTATTCTCTCTTAAAATATGTATCATTCAGGCACATTCATTCAGGGTTTAATAGAAAACCGAAGGATATGATGAGTGGGAATGAAAGACATACTTGCACCAACTGTGTTACTTCAGTCTTCAGATGATTATTTGTAGGAAACCTTGCAGCCAGACACAAAGCTATCTGAGGATCCACAGAAAAGGCAGTTCGAGCAAAATCGACCCATTTGTCGGAGCTGATTTTAAGACGTGAAGTGATTTCCCTGATGTTGGAAGAATTAATAACAATAGTGACAACCACATTAAAAGAAGTTAAAACAGGGAGAAAAACAATCAGTAATCGTTGTGCGTTACTTGGCAGTAGGTTGTGCCCAGACATCAAGTCTGTCAGCTTCATGCTGGCATAACATCAGAAGCAACTGTTTCCGCTTCTCCCTTCCAACAGCGTAGCTCTCCATTTGGCCCCAAACGGGATGGAATTGATCTCTCTGTGAGCATCATTAAGTTCAAAAAAGAGCACACGGACCATAAACAATTGTTTGCAATTAGAGAAAAGAAACTGTTCCCACGACAAAAAATAAAGATATTTTAGGCACAAAAAGTTTCACAAATGATGTAAGAACCAAAGTTTCCAGCGCCTCGATTATGATTATCTCACCACATCATTCAAAGAGTTTCCATTTTCCAGTGCACGTCCTCTGGAATCAAGTTGGGGAGTATCTAATTGCTCATTCAAAAGATGATGGACAAACATAGAAACGGACTGTGCCTCACTCAGGGCAAAGTTCTTATTCATATCATACCACTCAGGTTGGTGAGCAAACCACCCCAATGAAGCCCTGCAATTGAACATCACCAAATGGTTGAATGCATCAGCAAATCAGCATACTCCTAAATAAGGCCTAGTCTAATGAAACATATTGAATCCATTGAGATAAACTTCCATAAACAAATAGACATATGTTTGTGAGCAACTTAATGTCTATTAGCAAGCTATTGGTCAGAAATGATGAGCAAGGAACTTCCACTACTCATTCCATGCCTGTATTCACAATGCAGGCAAACATACTAGTCCAATTAAATGTGTGAGAAAGCACGGGAGAAAATATATTATTGATATTAGATAATAAATACAATACAAGAGGTCCATATTTATAGCTATGCACTACAAGGAGATATTACTCCTCTTCCAATGTGGGACAAGACTACACTATACATACTAACACTCCCCCTCAAGCCGGTGCATACACATCATATGTACCGAGCTTGTTACACATGTAGCTAATACAAGAACCAGTAAGAGACTTAGTGAAAATATTTGCTAGTTGATCATTCGACTTTACAAACTTTGTAACAATATCTCCTGAAAGTATTTTTTCTCTGACAAAGTGACAGTCGATCTCAATGTGTTTAGTCCTCTCATGGAACACCGGATTTGACGCAATATGAAGAGCAGCTTGGTTATCACACACTAGTTCCATCTTGCTGATTTCTCCGAACTTTAACTCCTTGAGCAACTGCTTGACCCAAACTAACTCACACGTCGCCATAGCCATGGCCCGATATTCGGCTTCGGCGCTAGATCGAGCAACTACATTCTGTTTCTTGCTCTTCCACGAGACCAAATTACCTCCTACTAGAACACAATATCCAGACGTAGAACGTCTATCAAAAGGTGATCCTGCCCAATCAGCATCTGTGTACCCAACAATCTGCTCGTGGCCTCGATCCTCGAATAGTAATCCTTTGCCTGGAGCTGACTTTATATACCGAAGAATGCGAACAACTGCATCCCAGTGACTATCACAGGGAGAATCCATAAACTGACTTACAACACTCACCGGAAAAGAAATGTCAGGTCTAGTCACTGTGAGGTAATTCAATTTGCCAACCAACCTCCTATATCTCGTAGGGTCTCTAAGAGGCTCCCCATGTCCAGGCAGAAGCTTAGCATTCGGATCCATAGGAGAGTCAATAGGTCTGCAACCCATCATTCCAGTCTCCTCAAGAATGTCTAAGGCATACTTCCGCTGTGAAATAACAATACCTGAGCTAGACTGAGCGACCTCAATACCTAGAAAATACTTCAATCTGCCCAGATCCTTAGTCTGGAAGTGCTGAAAGAGATGTTGCTTCAGATTAGTAATACCATCCTGATCATTACCAGTAATAACAATATCATCAACATAAACCACTAGATAAATACACAGATTAGGAGCAGAATGCCGATAAAACACAGAGTGATCAGCCTCACTACGAGTCATGCCGAACTCCTGAATAATTGTGCTGAACTTACCAAACCAAGCTCGAGGGGACTGTTTCAAACCATATAGTGACTTGCGCAATCTGCACACACAACCATTAAACTCCCCCTGAGCAACAAAACCAGGTGGTTGCTCCATATAAACTTCTTCCTCAAGATCACCGTGGAGAAAAGCATTCTTAATGTCTAACTGATAAAGAGGCCAATGACGTACAACAGCCATGGACAAAAAGAGACGAACAGATGCTACTTTAGCCACGGGAGAGAAAGTATCACTATAATCAAGCCCAAAAATCTGAGTATATCCTTTTGCAACAAGACGAGCCTTAAGCCGATCAATCTGGCCATCCGGGCCGACTTTGACTGCATAAACCCAACGACAACCAACAGTAGACTTACCTGCAGGAAGAGGAACAAGCTCCCAAGTGTCACTCGCATGTAAAGCAGACATCTCGTCAATCATAGCATGTCGCCATCCTGGATGAGATAGTGCCTCACCTGTAGACTTAGGGATAGAAACAGTGGACAAAGAAGATATAAAAGCATAATGTGGTGACGACAGACGATGATAACTTAAACCGACATAGTGGGGATTAGGATTAAGTGTGGATCGTACACCTTTGCGGAGTGCAATTGGTTGACTAAGAGGAGACAAGTCCGCAGTAGGTGCAGAATCTGATGCGGGGCGTGAATCACCTGGGCCTGATGCTGGATGTGGACGACGATGATAAGTCAAGAGTGGTGGAGCTGCAGAAGGTTGAACTGGATTATGTGGAGGAACTGGAGCTATAGGTGGTGGAGCTACAACCGGAGCTGTAGGTGGTGGAACTGGAGCTATAGGTGGTAGAGCTACAACTGGAGCTATAGGTGGTGGAGCTACAACTGGAGCTGTAGGTGGTGGAGCTGGAGTGACTGAATCTCCAAAAGATGAAACTGGTAGTACCTCAGAAATATCTAAGTGATGACCTGAACCTGTGAAGTATGATTGGGTTTCAAAGAAGGTAACATCAGCGGACATAAGGTACCGCTGGAGGTCAGGAGAGTAGCATCGATACCCCTTTTGTGTTCTCGAGAAACCCAGAAATACGCACTTAAGAGCACGAAGAGCTAACTTATCTGTTCCTGGAGTAAGGTTATGGACAAAACAAGTGCTTCCAAAGATACGGGGTGGAAGAGAGAACAAAGGTAAGTGGGGAAACATGACAGAGAATGGAACTTGGTTCTGGATAGCTGAAGATGGCATACGATTAATAAGATAGCAAGATGTAAGAACTGCATCCCCCAAAAACGCAACGGAGCATGAGATTGTATGAGTAGGGTACGAGCAGTTTCAATAAGATGTCTATTCTTTCTTTCAGCTACCCCATTTTGTTGAGATGTGTACGGACAAGATGTTTGATGAATAATCCCATGAGATTTCATAAACTGCTGAAATGGGGAAGACAAATACTCTCGGGCATTATCACTACGAAATGTGCGAATAGAAACCCCAAATTGATTTTGAATTTCAGCGTGGAAGGTCTGGAAAATAGAAAACAGCTCAGATCGATTTTTTATCAAAAATATCCAAGTGCACCTAGAATAATCATCAATGAAACTGACAAAGTAGCGGAATCCTAAGGTGGAACTGACCCGACTAGGACCCCAAACATCTGAATGGACTAAAGTAAAAGGTGACTCTGCTCGATTATCAAGACGCCGAAGGAAATGGGAGCGAGTATGCTTACCGAGCTGACATGACTCACACTCTAGAGCTGACGAGTGAGATAAACCAGATACCATTTTCTGAAGTTTTGACAAACTGGGATGTCCCAACCGTTTATGTAATAAATCTGGTGAATCAGTAACAGAACAAGTTGTAGAAGGAAGATAAGATGTGAGTCCATGTGATTTAGCAAGGATAAGGTAATAAAGTCTGTTTGATTCACGCCCGATACCAATGATCCGCCCCGTACTGCGTTCCTGTATAAAAACATGGTCATCAAAAAATAAAACAGCGCATTNGACTATTCAAAGCATCGGTTCCTATGTCGCTACGAGATGTCGGCTTACATGCTTTGTACTGAAGGAACTCAATATAATATGCTAAAGAAACCATCTGACTATTCAAAGCATCGGTTCCCATGTCGCTACAATTTATAGTAGTAGGATTAACTTGAAATAGTAGAAATAAGTAACTCCGGTGAGAAAACTGAAGAAATAGCTTGAAAAACACTGTTTACAGCAGGAAAACAGAACACTGTTCTGTGCTGGAAACACTATTCACGCTGAAAAACACTGTAGCTCGCCGGAATCTACTGTAGCTGACGGAAAGACTCAAATTGATCAGAATGTAACACAACCAGTGAGGGTAGGATCGAAATTACCCGGCGATCCTACTGTTCACCTGGAACTTTTTCAAAATCTGGCCGGAACAGTGCTCAGGCGCCGGCGCGTGGGTCAGATCTCGCCGGAAAATTTTTTTCTTTTCCAGGCGCGTGAGGGCGCGTGGACGTGTGTTTTCCGGTGGGATTGACTGGGGTTTGGTCGTCGGAGCCTGAGGAGTCTTGTGGTGCTGTTGGTTTTTGCACAACACCGACAGAAAGTGATTTGCTTATGGACAGCCTTCTAAGTCGCCGGAAAATTGTACGGCGAAGAGGTCTTTGTTCCCGGAAGTCGCTGGAATGATGCACAGCGACGAATTTCTCACTAATGCTCTGATACCATGTGAGAAAGCACGGGAGAAAATATATTATTGATATTAGATAATAAATACAATACAAGAGGTACCTATTTATAGCTATACACTACAAGGAGATATTACTCCTCTTCCAATGTGGGACAAGACTACACTCTACATACTAACAAAATGCAAAGTTTTTACCTATATATTCTGTCTTCCAGAAGCTGAAGCCCAGCCCTGAGGTTTTGCAAATTACCCTGTGACTTGCACGAGCAAAACTTCAGCCCAAGTAGCATCAGGGTGAAAAATGTGCCAGTAGCAGCAGGGTGGGAAGAAAAGTTCCAAGGTAGTTTGGTGGTTCCTTGCAACAACCGCCCTAAAAGTAAAAGCTGTGAAACACTATCATGTCGAACAACCTGCAAAGACAAGTTTTTCAAAACCAAAAAAAAAAAGTAGGAAAAAAAAAACTACAACTTGAACATTTATGAAATACATTTAAGAGAATCAAAAGGCTGAAACAATGATTATTTTAGCAACATTATCAAGAGAACATAAAGGCAGCACTTTTCACAAGAAAGGTTTGTTGTTTGTTTATTTTTCAATGTATGGTTTAAGCCATGTTTCATAGGCAACTATTGACAGTCTGGAAAAAGAGTGTTGCAAGAAGTTAAAGAGCAAAAACTGAGAAGCCGTCAAGGAACAGAAAATATAATCATTTCAATTGTGATGAAGTTAGTAGAAAAAATTATAGTAGTAGTTTTACCACGGCATCACCACAGTCCAACTAATCCAAACACAGATTCAACAAGCCAAGTACTCATATATCATAGTACTATACAAAGAAACAGCATTAGTGCGAGAAATTGGTGAGGAAGGAAACCAACGAGGGGCTTCTCTTACAAGTGCTGGAAGATACTCGGTAAAAGTTATACCAGACCAAAATACAATGAAAGAAGAGAAACAACAGCTAAAGACACCAATATTGTGAAATAGGTATTGCTAATTTGCCATGGAAAATCACATCTATTTAACTCGAAACCCTAGTACTTGAGTATTATGATTGAAGCAAACATCATATTGACATATTCATCTAATTAAATTTCAAATAAGTGATAGGACAACCGTACTTTAACATCATCTCTAAAGTCTAACCTAACCATTTTTGGGTGGACAATAGATCAGTGTATGTTTGATTATCGCATTGGTTCATAGGGAGCAGCTAAGAGAGTGAAAGCATTAAAACATTGATAATCACCTCAAAACGATCAATGAAAAAACCAAGCCATAGTTTGTGGGCCAATATTTGATCAACGGGATCCTTTTCAGGTGGTGCTTCTGGCTCCCCGGCAACCAGATGAGGCCTTAATTTAGCAGCAGGTCCACTACACCTAACTTCAGATGCAAAAAGACCTCGCTTTGTGTCGACTGTCCACAACCATGCATCGACGAGCTCAGCAAGTACCAGAGAACACAGTTGAGGAGCAGCTGAAACCAACCATGTCCAAATAAATACACCAGTCTCCATGGCATCAGATGTCAATATATAAGCTGGGCACCAGCAAAGAAGACGTAAAATTTGTGAAAAGCTTTCTACATTTGATTTAGTATCTGAACCCTGTGGACAACAGCAAATACGGTAACATGTAAAGCGATAAAGAAAATTTAAGGGGAGAAAAAAGGAAGTTTCATCCCAGCCTAAGAATGCAAAGACTGGTAGGAATTAGAAACTTTTTGTACCAGATGAGAGAGAAGCAAAGCAGTTGCTTGAGAACAAGTTTCATGGAATGATGACTTATCCACTTCTTCCCCTTTTTCTGCAGTATTAACAAATTTCTGCAGCAGTCGGACAAACTTTGTAAGTAAAACCTCAGAAAAGGACTCAGTTTTTGGCTGCAAACTATCCACCATATCACCGGGACCCAATGCTGGCCGATCAAGGCTACCAATACTCTCATATAACCTTCTCATCCCTGCAATTTCTCCAGCATGATTACACTTCGCAGTTGCACTGATCATACCAGTACTGAGCACCTCTAAATTAAACGCCTCCGTCAATTTTAATTTTGCTCCAGATGCTGCAGCTGCTGCAGCCATAACAGCAGGAATATTTGCTGTTTTTGTTCCGGTCCAACAATCATTTTTACCAGTACCAATTTTTATCTCGGATAAGAGAGAAACAACTTCTGCTGTAGGCTGTGATTTTTGCCAAGTGTTTGCTTTACAAAGCTTTTCCTGAAGCAAGGAAAGAGAGACTAGNGAAGGAAAGAGAGACTAGCTAATAGTATGTGCAATAGAAAATGTAATAGGATAGAAAAGAAGATAAAAATCCAGTAAAACATCTGCACAAACCACGCAAATTCAGATCTTTAGGCAAAAAGGTATCTGAGATTTTAAACTTCGTTACTAAATAAAGCTAAAATACCATCTGCACACAAAATATTTACTCCTACATAAAAAAGACAATGTGTTTACCAATGTTAAAGACTAGTGATGTTTTTCCAACAAAATAATTTTTTGTCTGCCTGTATTGTCGCGGAGAGATAGACCCAAATATTCATTTTGCACTCTAAGCAAAGTGCATCAATCCCTTAGCAAGAGCAAATGAACATAGGCAAACAAACATACTTGAAAAATGTAATACGGAGGAAAAAAGGTGACACAGCCTTGTCATGAAACTCGAAACTGATGGAATAACAAACCTGAAGAAGCCCCTGACTAGTACAAGGAGCCTGTGAAAGTGAAACAATTATCCATTCGCGAACAGTTCTTTGGTACAAAGAGCGAATAGTAGCAACACAAGCAGGATCATTGACTACAGATGAAGGTGGATCATTGTGCACAGAAAACAACAGTGAATCTAGACAAGAAGAATTCCACAAAATCTGCAAGCCAGTAAATTATTCAACCGTTAGTATCAACCAATGGCAAGAAGCAAAGTAAAACAAATTTGACACTCGATACAAGCAGCAGCGAAACGCCACCTGAGGAAAGCGATCTCTTAATTGATTCAGCAAATTGACTGAGATATCTCGTATATGCTCATCCCTTTGAGACAAATTTTTTACAAGGAAACTGGCATGTGTGGACAACGTAGATTCCCTATACTCTGCTTCAGGTCCAGTCTCAGACATCCTATCCTCCTGCAGCAAGTTACTGGGATCTTATGACCTTAATGTAAAAAGACAAAAAAGACAAGAAACTGAATNAAAAAAGAGAAGAAACTGAATGGGGGGATGCAAGAGAAGAGGATCAGCAATTTATGTTTGTTTAAAAACTATGATCTCCATTAGCTTTTTCACTAAGAAAAAGTAGCTAAAAAGGTATGCTATACAGTTCAAAGTTGATTTCTAATGTGACGAACTTTGTCCATAACAGTTTCAAAATGTTCGTCTTCAGCTAAAGAAATTTAAAATGCTCTAAGTCGAGTACAGATATACGCAATTGCCTCCAGATGCAAAAAGAATGCCCCTTATCCCTATTTTCTACGATAAATTCCCACGCAATCCCCCAAAGAGTCTAGATGGAAAGAGGCTACGCCGTTTGATGCATATGATGGTGGAATGCAATAACCAATAAGAAGCAAAATAATCAGCAGTTTTGGTCTGCACTCGTTCAGAAAGAGAAAACAACAATGAAAACAACGTACTATTTAGGCAATTGAGAATTTTGCAAACAAAACGAGGGGCTAAATTGTTTCGAAGGCATAAATTGGAAGCTAACAAATTCGTAAAGAGAGAAGGGAAGACAGTTATTAAAATATCCATATGGGAAACACACACAGCAAAGGCTATTTAACGTACAAGATACACATATAAATTGTAAGCAAAGCTGAATACAGAACATTATTGCACATAAGTTAAAAATACAAACAAGATGTATACAAAGATGAATGCTGAATTTAATAGATATAAGTTAAAATGTTTAAGTAAACAAACCTATCATACTCTGAAAATATACAGTTTAACTGTTCTTTTTTTTTTCACTGCATTTGGTATTCGACAATATTTTTCATTTAGTTCTATGAATTCTCGATGATTTGTGCATTCTGTTTCTTTCACTTAACTTGCATTTCTGGTATCCTTCAACCATCATATTATAGTACCCTTTATAAGAAAATTTAGATATACTGGTAATTTATAACCTTATAACTGCAAGTGATTAGTGTGTACAGCAAGACATAGCAGAAAGTTATAAGTACCAGCCACGCTACTGCTGTTTCAAAAGCCCTGTGAACAATTGCAGTCAAGCACTGAGAGACAGCCGGCGTGAGACCAGGACTCTTTAAGTATTCGAAGACACAGCTGAAGGCACTTCTAGAAGCTGTTGAACTAGGGCCCACACTGAGAATCCCACCATTACTACTAAACCGTATGATCTCCAAAAATGCTACAGCAAGTAGATAAGTTGACTTGACACCTGTAAAGGCCAAATAAAAATTATCTGTGAAGCCTAGAAACATCTCGATCATCATTTGTATCTAAGCAAAGAACATCTCAAAAACAATTAAAATTCATTAAGAACTTGATTTCCTTCTCAAAGCAAATCCTAACACGAAGAAATTCAACAAACCGGAAATTGTGCTCATCGCTGAAACTTCCATACGCCCTCCTAAAGCAGCAGAAAGAGCAGTTCTTTGGCTAACGGCAGCTTTCTCATTGCCACTACCACGCCGACTACCTGGGTTATGAAGAGCATTAAGTTCCAACTCATCTTCAAGCCACTTCACGGAGCTCACAACCTGGTAAACAGCACGTCTTAGACACCTTATATAAACTATTCGGTTAAACGAATTACATTATTAACATGAAACGAAAAACATTACAAGATTCAAGATGAAAAGAAATCGCACATTTATTGGCCTATTACTTTTGAAGTTATGGCTTGTGAGTAGGATAAACTATACTACCTTGAAGTAAATAACAAGAACAACATCCCATAATCTTTCTAGTCTCTTTGTCTCCACATATCACATCCCTCACAATGGTTTAAAAGCTAAAAGCGCACAAAAATGATATGATTAAAGCGAGAAGTGAAGCGAAGGCTTCCTTGAAGTGAGTTGTAAAGTTTACAAAAATATAAAAAAATCAAACATATATCAGTTTAGTACTATAATAATATCTCAATTAATATAACTAATTCTGGCATTCAGTATGCAATAATGTTGATAGTAATCCAGCTTCTCAAAGTTGAGATTCAATAAACCAACAATTTTTCGTTGGGATCACTTTGTGTGTCATTGTTTGAAGCACACACTTCTATGAAGTGCATGGCTTCACTCATCAGACGACAAGCCTTCATTTCACATCATTTCATCGCTTCAAGCGACGAAGCAATGGCTTCTAACAACATTGATCCCTCCCTTCTCAGAAAATTGAGATCAAGAAAAATATCAAACATGTGGATAATTATGTTATCTTTAGACATGTGATATCCTTATTTTCGGTTTGGAAGTAAAATGCACCAATACTGTAGTTCTTTCCACTCAGTCAAAAGGACCAAAACAAAAGAGACAGCCATATAAGAGACTTATGTAATGAGAACTCGAGGAACTTTATTTTTTTGATAACCAAGAAATCCCCGAGGCCCAGTGGCCCTTGATCCAAAATTCGATAGATAGTGGGGCCGCCACTCTACCTTTCTCGACTTAAATACCAGGCTTTTGTCTCTCGCAAGTTAAAAAACGTATTGTGCACCTAATCCACTAATCACGGGTTGCGATCTTACCACTAGACCAGAGCCCTGAGGGCAAGAAATTGAAGAACACAATCACAAGACATGCTCATATAAAAATCGTCTAATGAGAGGTTTTTCTAGAAACCTTAGCTACATTCATAGAATTAGATGTGCTAAAGTAAAGGATGTCACGAAATATATTAGGGTTAGAAAGGCTTGTGATAAACCCAAATAGTATCCCTATAAAGGTTTGGAAGTGCCTTTGGGATGTCGGAATACCATAACTAACCAAGTTACTCAATGTCATTATATTAAGAAGTGAAAAGACGCCAAACAAGTGGACAAGAGTACCTTGGTTCTGACTATAAAACAAATGAGATGTTCAAAGTTGTGTCAATCAACTAGATATAAATTGGGTCAATGATGAAACTTTAGGAAAGAACAACAGAGTGTAGCCTTGGAGACATTAGAACACTACAAATGTGATAAGCGACAAGTTTGGTTTTATGTCTAAGCAGACCTACAACCAAAGATATATTATTGAAGATTGATGAAAGTTTATAGAGAGACAAAGAAGGATCTCTATGTGCTATTCATTGACATAGATAAAAAATAGATATGATAAAGTGCTATGAAAAGTCTTTTGGTGGGTGTCTGAAAAAAAGGAACTCATACCAAGTACGTAATTACTGTAAAAGATATTTAAGAGCAAGTTGTCACATGTGTGAGAATAGTGAGAAAAGTTTCTCATGACCGTGGATTTACACCAAGGATCTGCCTTGAACTGATACTTGTTTTAGCCTAGTTATGCATGAATTAATCAATAGTATCTTGATAGCATACAGGATGATATTCATTGTGTACAATTTGCAGTTGATATTGTGTTAACTCACAAACTAGCTAGGGAATATTGTGGAGAACTACTCAGAGCAAGTAGTTTAGAATAAGTAAAAGTAAACATAATACATGAACAGCAAGTTTAGGCCAGTGTTATCAAAGGCGAAAAGCGCAAAAAAGCTCTAAGGTCTGGTGGGGCTTTAAGCGCAAAGAGCAATAAAGTGCGGGCTTTAATGAAGAAAGACGCAAATGGAGAAAAACTACAAATATCTATATATATATATATATATGTGTGTGTGTGTGTGTGTGTGTGTTATCCAAGGCTAATATCTATAAGCATGAATACCAAATACATGGACAAAGAAATTGAAGAAAATTTAAAATAAAGTGAAATATCAATTGTTTAGTGTCGCCTCTTCAGAATTACGCTCATTGGAAAGGAAAAATATGCCTTAGAGCCTTGATGAAAACACTTAAGCGCCCGCTAAGCGAGACGAAGTGCCCAACATGTTTTGAGCCTCGCTTCAGGGCTAAGCGCGCTTTTGAACTTTAGGCCCATAAGAAGAACAAAGATAAAATAAGATTGGACGGAATTGTTATGCATATATGCAGAAAATTCGGATATCTAGACTTAGTGCTCTAAAGGAATGGCATAATAGAGACCTAAAATAGGAATGGTCCAAATGGAGGATTGATATGCAATGTAAATTATGAAGATACCTAATAAATCAAAAGATAAAAGATAAGTTCTATAGAACAGTTGTGAAACGGGTAATGTATATGAAGTGAATATTATGTCTCAAATAAGTGTTGTAGAAATGCAAGTGTTAAGATCTCTACTTTTTCTGATGAAGTGTTAAGATCTCCACTTTACCCCAAGAAAATGCAAATGTTAAGATGAATATACAATCATATAAAATTAGACAAGGTTAAAAACAATCACATCAGATAGAGGATGCAAGTAGCACAAATAGAAGATAAATTGAGGAAAAGTCGTCTGAGATGGTTTGATCATATCCTAAGTAGACATCCAATATGCAGAAGCATGACAGTACAATAATTGAAGGTACTAAAAAGAGACAGTGCAAAGCGCAAAATCACGTTGAGAGGAAAAAAAAAAAACAGCCCGGTGCACTAAGCTCCTGCTATGCGCGAGGTCTGGGGAAGGGTCGGACCACAAGGGTCTATTGTACGCAGCCTTACCCTGCATTTCTGCAAGAGGCTGTACACGTTGAGAGAATTAGCCTCAAAAGAACTTCAATCTATCAGAATTAATGCTAACTTAGCTAAGAACTAACAACTTTTAAGCAAGGATCCGGCAACATCAACTAGTTTGATTTAGACTAAGTTCTTATTGTTCTTTAAGTTACACTAGGTTTGGTAGGAATGAGTGTGAGATTTAAAGAATCCTCACTTAGAAAACCTTTAATTTGCCTAAACGGATAAATTATTTACGAATATTGGAATGAAATGGATGAAGGGGAGCCTTGGAGCAATGGTAAAGTTGTCTCCATGTGACCTATAGGTCACGGGTTCGAGCCGTGGAAGCAACCACTAATGCTTGCATTAGGTTAGACTATCTACATCACACCCTTAGGGTGCGGCCCTTCCCCAGACCCTGCGTAACGCCGGATACCTTGTGCATTGGAATGAAATGGATCCGCAAAATGAACCTTTTTTTCTGTTCATGTTGTTGTGATGTAGGTTTTTCCAAAATGAACCTCATCTTAATCAAGGAAGATGAAGAAAAAGAGCAAAATTAGAGCTAAATGAGTAAGAGGAATTACTAGGAAAACCGCTAAACTACTAAGTTGGGATGAAAATATGTAGCACACATGACATAGGAATGCACCAACAGGTGCAACATCTTAAGCATTTTCTTAACATGTTTCTCGAGATTGACCTACAATAGTTGCAACAAGGCAGCAATTTCAACATAAGTAGTAAGCATTCTAGGAGAAGATGATAACAAAAATTTCTTAGACGCTGAACTTCTAAGTCAGAACCAAACTTACAAGTGGTGGGGTTCCTTGAGAAATGCGTTGGACAGCGGAGGACCAATCAGCACTCCACATGTATGGACCACTCACCGCTTGAAGTGCAATTGCTCCCATGCTACCAACACTGTTTAGAGTCGTTGATACTGACTTTGCCATGCCATTAAGGTTCTGTAATGGAGGAGCCAACCCAAAGAGAGCAATATAGAACCACAAGTTTCTAAACAACTTCAAGAGTGAAGGTTCAACATCTACAGTAGGATCAAAATCTGAACATATCTCAGCCACGGCAGGAAGGAGAGGCCCAAGAAAATCTGCTCCACTCCTGCAAAATACAGTCCCTGAGTTCATCCAGAAACACTCCAGTAAAGCACATTCTCAGCCAACATTACAAAAACCTACTTTCCACTTTTTGACTCTGCAGCCAAGCCCACATCTGAGCACAGGGATAGCAAACGTTGACGGTAGTCTGTACGCAACTTAGGAGTAGTCAAATCTCTGGCAATCAGAAGAAATCCTGCGGGAAGTGTCTAGAATGTGATTGAACATGTGAGCAATCGATCAATTAAAGATAATGATAATTAACTGCTATAATATGATAAAAACACCATGATCCCACCTCAACACGCTCTGTTGTGGCCTCTGGGGCTGTGGTCTTACTTTCAGCTGAGCCAACAGCAGCAAGTTTACTTAAGTAACTCCTTGTCATCAGAACAACAGCTTCACGGTAGGACTTCTCAAAACCTAAACTTGCCATACGAGCAACAGCATCAAGAAGCTGCAGCAGCTCAACAAAAACAGGTTGAGTAACTCAGAAAGTGATTCAATTAGCTCAGTTAACAGAGTAAAGGCTTTCAAAACTTGAGTAAATGTTGCAGAGATACTGCACTAGGTTTGTGATGAAAAGAGATTTTCATACTCGGAGTCTCAATAAGCCTGGTATTGATGCATCACGCTCCTCTAAACTTTCAATGAATTTAGGCAATATCATATCCACAATTTCAGGCCTCTTAACTGAAGAATTCAGATCAGCTAGTAACCTTATAACGTTCAACTGCAGGGAAGGAGCTGCCTGCTTCTCCTTCTCTACCTGGAAATGTAGGCAGTTGCAAATAATATTATCAAAACAGAGACTAATAAAGAAACACTAAGAGAATTAAGCAATATGTCCTCCATGAAAAAATGCAAATACATGTAAGCCTCTTAGGTGGGTGTTACCATATTCTACGAGATTCCCCACCTTGGTTTGTAGAAGTATTTCATGAATATAAAGCATTTATTGGAAAAGGAGAGGATATTTAGCAAATGTTTTTTTAGATTGTTAAGGGAATAAATACTATTTTGTCACAGGCCAACCAGAAAGATGCTTGTCTAATGGCACAACTATGAATTTGCTCATCAAACTGTGATTTCAAACCTCTACTTGCAGAAACTTAGATATTCCAAAGCTATAGCTCAGTTGGTTGGCTACCTGAACTTTCAGCTTGTTGGTGAAGGTTCAATTCCCCACCATGTAATCCTCTCCCCCCTTTCCCCTTCCCCTATCCCCTATGTAATTAAAAAGATTTTGAAAAAACAATAAATAAATAAAAAACAAAAAAAACTATACTTCAGCTATAGGTTGTGCAGCCTGTAAAGCTGGATAACAAGCAAACTTCAATGTAAATGGATGCATATAAGCTATAAAAGTATTAGATTTCAATGCTTTATCATCAGCAAATGTCAAGAAGAAGACCAAGAGATTTTCTCAGGTCAAAGGAAAACTAACTTCGATTGTTTTCTTTGATGAGTAAACTATTTTCAACTTCTTTTATTGGTAACATATCTTCTTCTTATTTTATTTTTTTTTGAGAGGGAATCATTAAACAATTCCTTATCAGTCTTGACTCCTTTCAATAGGAACAACAATTCAACTAGTACATAACAAGTATGGAACAAAGAAATATAATGGTACTAGGTTGACCTAAAGTCTTCCTATTTATATAGCAGGATCAAATAGAATTGAAGGAAAATGAATGTGATAAGACAGAATTTTTGATAAATTATATTTTTTTGATTGGTAACTATCTCAACTTTTTTGATACAAACTTTTCACAACATTTACAACGAACAACAACGAAACGAAATATTTCACATGATATACCAATTGACTCCTAAAGGAAAATCAAACATACAGGTCCCTAAGCAAGCATTCAAAAAGCTAAGCACAATTTCTAAGGGGTCCGTGACTCACAAGAAAAATCCTTCCCTTCTGTGAGCCTAGGAGAAACCAGAAACTCAACAGTGCAGATTAAACCACTAATCAAGACATTAAATGCCAAAAGTTTTGTCCTTGCAGCATGAAAGAGCACATTCAGTTTTTTATTATCAAAACTAGAGAAAGAGCAAATTTCTGAGGGAAATAAAGAGGATGTTTACACAACAATCAGTTGTAAAAATTACAGACATTTGAGGCACAAGTCAATCTTGTCCGTTCTTAGGCCTTAAAACAACCAAATCTAAGAAAAAACAAAAGCTCACAGACTAATCTTGAACTCACAACTTGATAACACAGTTTTACTTCAAGAAAAATAGATAAAAGCTTGAATAATGACCTAGCAATTGAAGCAGAACACAATGAAGCTAGACTCTAGAGTTGGGTCACAAGGAAGCTAGACTCTACTGGAGTAAATTAAGAGGGAGAAAGATAGATGAATTTAATTTACATTAACTGTAAGATCAAGTGAACTGCAGAAGTCGCCACACATTTTAACAGTTAACACACATTCAATGACACAGTCTCTGATCTATACAGTCAAAAGGGTCTTCACCACTCCAAGTTATCAACATGAAAAAGCTGATAGGAAACAATCAACCTGGAAATGCCAGTTTTTGTGGGAGAGGGAAGGAGTGGCATTAATCAGCAGTGTGCTAGATACTCTTCAAACATACTTAATGTCTCATTTCTATGACATCAAAGGTGGAAATGTTGCTCAACAGCATAGGAAGGACTTTTATGTGGGAAGGAAAAGCGAAAATCTTTTTTGGCAGAATACCTCGTGACCCCCCTAAACTTGACATGTTTTATTTAGTGCACACTGAGTATACACAGAGTATATACCAAGTAAAAGTTCAATGTCACAAAAATATCTTCCTTCAATTCCAGGCCACCAATTATGACTAAACATTTTTTTGTTTTTTCATCAATATAACCAAAAAGGTTGCTTGTATAGTTTAGGCTTAGCTAGGTAGATAAAATGGTAACAAAAAACCCATAATTTTGCAAGGAAAACACATTGAGGTAAATATGACATCACAAAATTAAACCTGAAAATGCTAAAAAGGAGCAATCTTGACACACACGTGTGAATTTTTACCTTGAAAATGCTAAAAAGCTAAGTTGCTCGGACTCTTCACTTTCAGTGCCGCACCCGTGTCGACACGACGTGGGTGTGGGTATGGGTGTGGGATCCGTGTCGGATCTGGTCAACCGATTTTGGGTACTTTGACCAAAATCAACGAAGAAATTTGGGATAGATATAATGATTTTTGAAAACAAATCAAAAGCTAGGGTGATATGGAAGAAAATGGAATACCTTCTATATATAAATTTCTATGTCAGTCCTTTTCCTTTTATCTCCTTCTAAAATTCTACTCTTGTTCAATATTTTCTCCTTCTCGGAATACCTTGTAAGTTTTCCACATAATGCCTCATAATTTAGACATATTTTTATAACTCTATTTTTAAATAATTGAATTATTTTTAGCCGAATCCCCGCACCCATATCCGTACCTGGATCCGTACCCCCGAATCTTTAAATTTAGATCATGAAGGATCTGACCTCTAGATCCGCACCCGTATCGGACACCCGCACCCGAGTCCGAGCAACTTAGCTAAAAAGGAGTAATCTTGACACACAAAAATGCTTACAGTTGTTGTTAGCTTGTTGTAAATGGAAAGATGTGAAATAGACATTTTGATAGAGTTTCTTTAGCTTTTTAAGGCTTAGCCTGCTTTATTCAAAGTTTGTGTATATTCCTGCACTCTCATATTGGTGGTTTTACTGCGACAAGATTCTTACTATACCTATCCAAAAAATAAAGAGGAAGAGGAAGAGCCAGATGGCATATTCTTCTTTTGTGGACTACTAATGTGCGTCAGGCACAAAACAAAATTAAAAAGAAGGGAGAAAGCCCAGATTTGCCCCTCTACTATGGTATATTATTTACATTTGTCCCCTGTTATACTTTTCGTCCAAATCAACCCCTACCGTTAACAAACTTGTTAGAATTGCCCCTAACCCTAACGGTCCTCCATTATGGCAGCCGACCCCTCAATTAAAGAGCCACGTAGATAGCCAAGTCAGCACCTATTTTTAAAATGCCTTTATAGTAAATAATTAAACTCACTTAAAATCCCTAAATTTAATAGCCCCACATCATAGCAGCTCCTTCTTCTCCGTAAAAGACCTCCACTGCTGAAAAAGTTGAGGTTCATCAAGAGGAATCGGCTGCACCTTCAAAGAAATCACTCGGTGCATTAAATTCTTCCATAAATTTCCCTTTCCCCCAACTTGCTCTCTTCTTTCTCCATAATTAGAGTAAATGAATCAATTATTCTTCTACCAGACCCTTTTGTCACATGTTATTTCTCCTGATTGCCTTCTCCACCTCTTCAGCAAGTTGAGAGGTAAAGCTATTTCCAATTAAATGTTAAATTATTTTAAGTTTCTTCTCCCCTAATTGGACAAGATGTGGGAGTTGAGGCTGAGATGGTTCGGGCACGTACAGAGGAGGAGTACGGATGCTCCTGTTAGGAGGTGAGAGAGGCTGGCCGTGACGGAGCTGAGAAGGGGTAGAGGAAGGCCGAAGAAGTATTGGGGAGAGGTGATTAGGCAGGATATGGCGCTACTTCAGCTCACTGAGGACATGATCCAGAATAGAAGGGTGTGGAGGTCGAAGATTAGGGTAGTTGGCTAGTAGGTAGTCGAGAGTTCCCCGTTCTTTTTTAGTAGTATTAGTAGCTCCTTTTTTTCGTTCGCTCTGTGTATTGTATGTTCCAGTTTGTTACTGTTTGATGCTATTTTCTGTTACTGGTTTCGTTGTTGTTGTTGTTGTTGTTATTGTCATTGTTGTTACTATAGTTGTCTTTCTCCCCTTTTCCTTATCATCCTTTGTCCCCCTATTCTTTATTTCTTCTTCCTCTTTCTTCTTCGTCTTCTTCCTTTCTCTCTTTTCACCTTTTCTTGAGCCGAGGGTCTATTGGAAACAGCCTCTCTACCTCGCCAGGTAGGGGTAAGGTCTGCGTACACACTACCCTCCCCAAATCCACTTGTGGGATTATACTGAGTATGTTGTTGTTGTTGTTCCTCCCTAATTATTTCTCCCCTATTTGTTGGAGTTTATTCGAGGATTGAGATTAGAAATTCTTGTTATGTTTTGCATATTTAACGAGTTGATTCAATTTGGTGGCATCTGATGCTAATTATTTCTTTTTAATTGATTTTTCAAATGAGTCTTGGATGGAAAATATGATGACCTTTCAGAGCAGTCATTCTATATGGTTGGTGGAATTGACGAGGCCATTGCCAAGGAATCTACAGCTTAGATTATGAACTCCATTGACTTTCTTTCATTCAACCGCTACTGGCTTCTGTTCATAAACTGTTGGACCTGGAAATGAAGCACCATCTTTTATGAATGCGTACTTTGTGGTTGCGAAAGAGCTTTAATGGAGAGGGTGAATATGGAGGTTACTCTGTGTGTAGTGTTCTCAGGTGGTGATTTTGAGAAAAATCGTTTGATAGAGGTGGTGCTTTTGGAATTTGTATTCCCGGCGATGATGGTGCGGTGAAGGGATGGGAATAGTTTAAGGAAAGGGGGTGGGGTTTGTTTGAAACTTTTCGTGGGACCCTTAAAAATTGCTGACATGGACAATTTAATTGAGGGGTCAGTCGCCATAGTGGAGGGTTGTTAGGGTTAGGGGCCATTATGACAAGTTTGTTAACGGTAGGGGTTGATCTGGACGAAAAGTATAACGGGGGACAAATGTAAATAATATACCATAGTAGAGGGGCAAATTCAAACCTTTTCCCTAAAAAGAATAAATAAAAAGTCATAGGACGTTATTGTACATAGTAATAGATGTGTTTATCCATATATGTCCAGTATAATAGTTTAATCAGGAAAAAATTACCGAAATGACTTATACTAGAACAAATGGTACGTAACAACGTTCTACCTTCCAGAATTGGCTCCATTTGCAATATGCGGAGCAAATGACTAGCAACTTTAACTTGCAAATAATTTTATCTAGCGACTCCAAACAACAGGCAATGTTTACTACCTCTTGATTCATCAACAAACATCCATTTACTTCCACTAGCTTATGATTAATGTGTGCGAGTTATTCAATGGCCAGTAAACTGCAAGGTAAAACTAACCTCTTCCTCATAACGATTCCTTTCACAAATAGGAAACCCCATAATAAAAGTGTCCACAGGAGATCGATCCTTGTTCCATCCAAACTGAATTATCTCGCAACTTGTCTTCAACACGCTTTCAAACAAGGCCCCCTGGTTGCTGCCCCAACTGTCTGCCTGTGGTGAAAAAACCCATAATCAAGAAGTTATGCTAGATTCTACAATCACCATTGAACCATTAAGTGCGACTTAATGCAGCTGAATGTTGTACCTGAGCACATGTCGCCAGCACAAGAGGCTTAAACCGAATGAGCAGCACTCGAAGCATCTGACCATCACGAGCAACAGCAGCATGGGAAATTCCAGAAAGCAAGGAGCGAAATAGCTCTTCACATGCTCTCAACTTTCGCCACACTGAGAATAAACATGCCTCTGCAGCCTCTATCAATGAAGCAAGAGCTCCCTGCAACAATCTTTTTGATGATTTTCCATCCAAATCAAGTGATGCAAGAGTTTTAATCTGCAATCTGGCTGCTGCTTGATAAACAGCAAGTTTGGCATTGATCCTAACTTTCAGCGACTGCCCTTGTTCTGACCAATCACGTTTCCTTATCTGCCAGTCAACCAAGTTAATTAGACCATCCTTTTCACTAACTTTTCCATCTTCTCTTCTAACGAGCAATAAACCACACATTTATTGAAATAAACTGCAATTACACCATGCTTTCTAGTAACATGCAATTTCTACTCTGAAGAAAAGGCACCACGGATAATTAAACAGAATAAACTACAATTTAAACCAACCCTTTTTCCGCAACAATGCAGCTATTATCCTAAAGACCAAAAATTCACCACATATATTAAACTGAATAAACAGCAGTATCTTGAAATGTTTACCTTTAAAAATGCTACCATCGACTGAAATTGCTGCTTTACGATACCTCTAACATTATCCAATAGATTGGCCTCAATAGAGACTTTTCCCAGGACATTTCCTATCAATTTCAAAGCCATTTCTCTTTTCTCAATGCTATCAAGTGGCTCCTCTTCGAATGAGGCAATGGCTCGTTGTTTCTCTGCACTGCCATCTCCATCATTGTACCCACCACCACTACTTCCACCTAACAAATCTATATTGCTACCGCTCATAGGTGAACTATGAGAGGAAGAAGTTCCAAGCAGCTCTCGGGGAGAGCTAGGGACAAAATTATCAAACTGCTCGAGCAGACCCGAAACCAACTTATTAGCATCAGAAGGAACAATAGGAGGGAAATAATAACACATTGCTTTCAAAACTGCCTTCGAAATCCCCAAATCTCCACTCCTGTTACCTAAAGCCGATGTCACAATATCCCCCGTGAATCTAGCTACGTCGGCAGAAAATTCCGGAGACAATTCACATGCTTTACAAATATATTCCAAAAGATCACGGAAAAATGAAACAATTGAGTCGTTTGTAAGGGATTGAGGCCAAAAGTGCGGGTTAAAAGAGGAAGGAATTGAACGATAGAACGCGAGAACGAGGGATTTGGGCATTTCATCCGAATGGTTAGGACATTTGGAGAGGAATCGTGCAACGGCGAGTATGGCATTGAGTTGAGACCTTGAAACCCTAGGAGAAGATCCAACGAGTAAGGCTTCTGCTGGAGGGCATCTGCCGCATATCCATGCTAATTTCTCTGCGAATTGAGCTGGGTTTTGTGCGATTAAATCACATAGCTCAATCAATGACTCCATTTTTAGAAATAATTATGTCAACAGAATGAACCAAAAAAATTTAAAGAAATGACAACTAGATCAGGAAATAATAGGCAAAATCAAAACTGGAAAGGGCCCGATCGGCTGGATCAGGGACCTGGAGGAAAATGGAAATGTGACGGAGCCAAAAGAATTCACGAATGCGGTAGTGGATATTATTATTATAGATTTAATAGGAAAATTGTAATAAGAATGTGTCAAAGAGGATAATGGAGGAGAAATGAGGTGCAATTCGTGAATTCCGATGCCGGCTCCTTGTTACTTTTTCAGTTTGGGGGAAGCACACTGCACATCGCGCGCCTCGCTCAGATTTTTTTGTCTTTTTCCCCAGAATTTTGATGCAGGCGCGAATTATTCGGCAGAATTAACTGGACTCCGTGCGTCTCGTAGTTTCATACTCTGTGATAGTATTATTTAAGTAGGAACAAATCAAAAATTGCCCCTAAACTATACTATGAAATGGTTTTAATTTATTTTTTAAAAAAAGTTGGGTCAAATATGTTTTTGCCGTTATCAAAATGGGCTAAATTTATTTTGCTAACAAAAAACTTATACCTATTTTTTTTTTAAGTTTTAATATGTACCCACTTTTTAAACAACTTCAACCTCCTTCTCCTCCTTCGTTTTCTTCTTCTTCTTTCTTCTGCTGTTATTGGTGTTGCTATGAAACTTCAATTCATGGGATGATTGTCATAAGTATGTTTATCAGATTATTTAAAAATAAATTATAAATAATTACGTAAGTTAGTAGACAATAATTTGTGAATATTTCCACGTACGGGAAGTTTAAAGTCACACTTAGTGATTCTTTTCATGATATTTTGTTCTTTTCACGTTTATTATTTCCAAAATTTTATGATTTAGATACTGTTGGCAATCTGATTATTTTATAGTAGTCTGATTATGACAAAACTAATGAATCCGGGACAAGAAAAACTTCAACTTATTTAGTGCTGAAGTTTTTACAAATGAACTAAATAATTTCAGCATATGCTGAAGTTCTTGAAAAAGCTTAATGACAAAACTAATGAATCCAGGACAAAAAAACTTCAGCTTATTTAGTGCTGAAGTTTTTACAAATGAACTAAATAACTTCAGCATCACAAAACTTTAGCTACTAGAATGCTTCAGTTCAGCAATTACAAATAAAAACTTCAGCAAATAGAGAACAATACTTCAACACCAGAATGTTTAAGTTCAACAACTACAAACAAAAACCTCAGCGTACTTGGTTCAGCAATTTTTGCTACTTCAGGCTCGTCTAATAGAATGCTGAAATTTGTGTGATTGCCTTTACTACTTCAGGTACGTATGCTGAAGTTACGCGAAAAAGTGGGTACGCTTACAATTTTTTTTGCAAAGCAGGTACAAGTTAAAACGTGACCCAAAAAGCGGATATAGATGTAAATGCTCCAACGAAAAGTTAATGAAATAAGGAAGAATTACAACCCTTGTCACTTGGCCTAACAGCCTAATAAAAAATGGCCCACGTTTGAAGTCCTTACTGTGACGACCCGGCCGGTCGTTTTAAGATTTTACGCCCTGATCCCCTATTAACTGCATTCCCCATGTTCGAGGTAAGTGACTTGCCTAACCTTGTGTGGGGGAACTCCCCTTAGGATTTGGTATTGTTGATATATGAAATGCCTTGTACGTGAGGTGACGAGTACGTACATATGCTAATTGTTGAAAATCATGCTTTCATTTAGTAACTATAACTGTGTTTTCTTCCCTGCTTATACTGCTTGCAATTTAAGCCTATTGTTAGCTTAGGAAAGCATGTCTAATTGACTTAATTGCTTTACTTGCTCAAACTGCTTTATTTGAATTCCGTGCAACATGCTAGGTTAGAAATACCTGTTTTAGCTTGGTATGAAATTTGGATTGAACTAAATAATGTTTGTGTTGCTGTTGTGTGTTTACTTTAGGACTACGGGACGGTATCCTGGTAGATCCCCTTGCATGTTTACTTTGGGACTACGGATTTGCATTCCAGTAGATCCCCCTGCACATTTATATTGGAACTACGGGACTGGACCTGGTAGATTACCCTAATACTGGGCATTTACATTTGGGGACTATGGATCGGGATTTAGGTAGATCCCCGACGCACTATGAGTTAGACTATGGGACGACACCCGGAAGATCCATTGGACATTTACATTTGGGGGCTACAGGACGGTATCCTGGTAGATCCCCGGTTTGTTGGATATTTACGTTTGGGGGCTATAGGACGGTATCCTGGTAGATCCCCGGTTGCTATCTCTGTGTTGAGCTATATTCTTTCTGTGATGTTTTTCTCTGTTGTATTTGTTGTTATTCTTATTATCTTGTGTTACTTCATACTATTAGCATTTAATTATATTGTCATATTCTATACTGTTTTACCTTATTTTTCAGCTATAATTAGTAGGGCCCTGACCTTCTTCGTCATTACTCGATCGAGGGTAGGCTTGGCACTTACTGAGTACCGCTGTGGTGTACTCATGCCCTTTCCGTACATGTTTTTCATGTGCAGATCCAGGTACTTCGACTCAGACCTACTACCCTTGAGGCGAGGCAATTCTCTAGAGATTTCGAGGTATATCTGCCGCGTCCGCAGACCGAGGAGTCCCTTTCCATTCTCTCTTATAGTATTAACCCTTCTGTATTTACTTTTCTTTAGACATTCTGGAGTTAGACACTTGTAGTTATTCAACAGCTTGTGATTTCATGAGCATCCAGATTTTGGAAAGTTGTTCAGTTTTTGAGATCTTGTATTAGTATATGCTGAGCGGCATCTTAAACACTTCTATATTTGTTTATCTTCAGTTTTTATTAGTTTTTTCGCATTTTATTTCTTTTTTCGAAATTGTTAGGCTTACCTAGTCGTAGATACTAGGTGCCGTCACGACAGTTCATGGAAGGCGAACTTGGGTCGTGACAAGTCTCGCGGATCGGTATGGAGACGTCTGTACTTATCTACGAAAGGTTATGTAACTGTTAGGAAATTCCACTTCATTTGATTTCCCTATCGTGCGAGATTTTTGACATCACAATCCTAAACCTATATCTTCCATTCTCTCATAGATGGTGAGGACACGTGCTATCGTAGGTGCCCAGACACCCGCGCGAGCTGCTATAGAGGAGCCACCAGCAGTTCCGGCTGGAGACCAGGCGCCTAATACGCCTACTACTAATACTACTCCAGCAACTTTAGGAGACCTTAACACAGTTCCTGAGCATGTTTGGTACATTGGTTCAGGCGGGATTGATCCAAGTTGTATCGACTACTTCACAGATCAGGGAAGGGACCCAAACTTTCTCCGCCCCCACTCCAGAGCAGCGAGTTCGCATTGGTCAAGGTTCCAGGTGTCATGGCGACACAGCCTGTGGTCCCAGCTCAGCGGGTGGTGAGGATCCCTCGCCGAGTAGAGGACATGTGGGTCTAGGAGAGAGAGAGTCTCCATGATGAAACTGAGGTACGGTATCTTCCTCAATTCGCAACTTCGTACTATACCTGTTATAAACGTTATTCCACGTGGTTGCAGGGAACTCTCGAAGGCTTTCTCTAAGTCTTCTGAACTTTTGTCATTTAAGTTGCTTGCAAAAGCTATTGCAACCCAGTTATCAGGTACACGAGGCAAAGTCATCCTCTCACGTTGGAGTCTATCAACAAAATCTCTAAGCAACTCTGAGTCCCCTTGTTTAATTTTGAAAATGTCTTCCATTCTTTTTTCAACCTTTTGAGCTCCTGAGTGTGCTTTAATAAAAGAATCT